TTGTCAAGATTAACAAAGAAATTGGCCTGGCTATGTGAAATAAATAAGGAACTCAAGGGATCAGAAAATTTTTCATTGTGCATACGTACGGCTATTGTTCCCTAAATGTAAAATTATCGTATCACATCCATCTTTAAGGAAAGAAAGTTCAATATAATGGGCAATGTTTATTAATTGTTTCAATGATAGAGAAATCTCTATGCCCCAAAGTTAGCTAACCGACATTAATCACGGATAAGTAAGTTATCGTGATAGAAGATTATTTCACAGCAACACTTGGGATAAAAAATGAAAATTACAAAAATCGAGATGTCATAAAATTTAATCTAGCCCATAACTTAAAATGGGTAGCCATGTTAGTCGATATAACTACTAGCATGCAATAATAATTACCGATTAAAAAATATACAGATTAAATCACATGTTGTCCCGATACGATTAAACATGTATATTAAACTGAGAGCCAACTTATGTAAAAACCGAGTTGAAAGTAATTTAAACTACGGGAGAAAAGGGTAACGGTTTGAACCGACATAACAAGTAGCAGATAACAAAATCAATAACGCCGATAACTCATTTTGACACATTGGGTTAAACAAATCAAATTACACTAGGGGAGACAACTTGTCTATGAACTTAGCTGTAAGTCGGCTTATGTGGTAGATGATAATAATGTTAGACGATAACATATTTCGACACATAGTGTTAAACAACTCAAAATGTGACGTAGCTGATAATAACGTTAGACGATAATAACGTTAGACACATTTTGACACATTGTAACAGTGGGGGAGCCAACTTCTCTATGACCTGAGCTAGACGATAATAACGTTAGATGATAAAATAAATAACGACTATCTAAAAAGGTAGCCCATTAAACCTTCTAGCAGAAATCGCAAAAATTAATCAAAACGACATACACGATAGATCCAGAGTTGACAGAAGCTATACCAGATGATCCAGAGTTGGTGTTGATGATCCAGATTTGTTTAATCCAGAGTTGACAGATTTGTTTAATCCGGGAGAAAAGGGTAACGGTTTAAACCGACATAACAAGTAGTAGATAACAAAAACAATAACGCCGATAACTCATTTTGACACATTGGGTTAAACAAATCAAATTACACTGGGGGAGACAACTTGTCTATGAACTTAGCTGTAAGTCAGCTTATGTGCTAGATGATAATAACGTTAGACGATAACACATTTCGACACATAGTGTTAAACAACTCAAAATGTGACGTAGATGATAATAACGTTAGACGATAATAACGTTAGACACATTTTGACACATTGTAACACTGGGGGGGCCAACTTCTCTATGACCTGAGCTATAAGACAGGTTTTGTGTTAGACGATAATAACGTTAGATGATAAAATAAATAACGACTATCTAAAAAGGTAGCCCATTAAACCTTCTAGCAGAAATCGCAAAAATTAATCAAAACGACATACACGATCAGATAACGAGTCTATTATTACCTAGTTAACTTCTTCAATAACTAATAACCAACAGCTAATTCCTTTTTCTTTGCCTGACTAAGCATCATGTAAACAATGACAATGCTGATCAAGCAAAGCCACACAAAACACATCTGCAAGCACAATTTCCACTTGCGGATCTCCTTTTTGCTCAAGATTGCTTCATCCACTACAAGAAAAATGCACATTCTTAACACGACAGAAATGCTATAATATGTAATTTATAGCGTTTTCATAAATGCTATTTTATGCCCCTGTTATGGTAGGTGCCACACATACGATAACATTTTTTCAGTATGCTATTGTAAGTCGTTTTATTATAGCATTAACCAAATGCTTTAATATACTTTCTTGTAACACATGTTTTGTGCTGTTTTATATTATGTTGTAGCATTTTTGTTTCGCTATACGAATATATTAATTTGATTTATATAAATTTATAATTGAATCCTATTTTGCATAAATTTTTAAATTGGATTTATATATTATTTATATATTTCATAAATCATCAAAATACATAACATTAATATCAAATTAACCAAAACAAGTTTTACATAACATCATACCAAGTCGTATACTAACATCGTAAGTGCCACACAAAATAAACTAACATTAGACAAACTTTTTAGGCTAAGATAGCTACTTGCACTCCGTACATCAGTTTACCTTCATTCCTCCCATGGCCATACCCATCGTAAGCGTGACTTCAGTCTCTTTGCATCTTTCAGTCTTTTAGTGTAAATATATCTCCCTGGAAACATTATTTATTGGCATCCACTAACCTATTCAGTTCAAAAAAACAATACTAAAGTAAATTAGAGATGGCTTTTCAATAGTCTACCCAAGAAAGCAAAATAATTCAGCTAGTTAAGCACCTGCATTCCAAAATGCACTTCTCTAGATATGCATATAAAACTTAAGAAGAAGCTAGTCCCCAAGTATACTAACACTATGATTGATACCAGATCTGCTCCACTTTCTCTAATCATATGCTCCACGTAATCTCAGACAAGAACATATGATTTGATGTTCATTGCAAGATGGTAACATGATTGTGCATACACAAATCTGAAGCTAGATAAGAAATAAAGACCTGAACTTTAAGCTCCACAACTGCAAGCTCATTTTTGATGTTAGTTATCGCATCTTCATGTGTTTTAAGCTGCAAAAATATTTCAGTATTCAACAAACAAGTTAAATTACTCGTTTTGATACAATGGATGTTTTTACAAAGAAAATAGATGAAGTAAAGTAGCATGTTTCCGTGCCCTAAAATTCACTTATACCTAGGTGATTTATCTTACTTTCATCGAGAATACTTCCAAGTGAGTACTAATTAGTATGCAAGAAGCAAAATAAGCAAAACCAACGCCCATTCCAAACACACAAGCCACACTCCAACAAAAATATCTAAAAGAAAAGAGAACCCGTTAGACCCATTAGCTAACTGACCACAAACTTGATCATCGACAACCATTTCACTGTTTCAGTGATACTATTAATTTAAAGAGAATATAAGTTCATAATTGTACCTGGAGACCAACTGATTCGAATCTTAAGCACCCACCAAAGATAAATTATACATCTTCTCTACTCTTATACGTGTTAATGACTTGGAAGGTAGAATCTTCAGCACCTGCAAGTTTCAACAGCAACACAACAAACCAAAATCAACACAAAACAGTTCAAAACTCTAATTTTTATTCACAACAATGAGATTTTTATTCACAAAACTGTTATAGTAATACTAATATCAAATGAGATATGTAAATCTAATAGGAATAAGCTTACATAACACCAAACAATGTTAAGTAACAAGCAAGCCAATAATGAGGCAATTCGTCGAACACCTGGGGGGCATGAAAAGCATCATCAGTTTTTCGGCCAAAAGCTTATAAGATTTTAATCTAACCCAAATCGATCAACTGAACCCTAACAAAATCTAACCCAAGTGCTTATAAATCTATTGAACCCAAACAAAATCGTACCTGCGGATGCAAAAGAGAAGGATAAAGAGGGAGGAGGCTGACGCAATTGAAGAACGAGCGTCGAAGATGGTTTGGGGCTTCAAGCCAACGAAATTGAAAGCTATGGTTTATGGTTATCTGAGACAAGCGACGACGACGGACAATGAATCATTTATAGAATTTAAGAAGAAGAAGAATTTGGGGATGAAATTGATAGAATCCAGTAGATCCAGGGGTGTATAATCATATTAAGAGAGTGAAGAGGTAAATGAGAGCTAAGGAGAAGTGAATAATCTAGGAAGAAAGGAAGAATCGAGGAAGAGAGCGGAGAGGTAAAGGAGAGAAAGAGGATGGAGAAGTTATAAAGAAATTAGGGTTTGGTTTTTAATTTGAGCGATTTCTTATTTTTTTGGCTAAGTGTTGGTGTTATGGGCAAATTTTCGTTAAATATTTGGCAGTCATAAGTGATTTTATTTCCGGATCTGTTATTATAGGGCTTAGCGTTTCTAAAATGCTATAATATAGTTATCAAAATTCGAGTACCATCTTTAATAACAGATGCGAAAAATGCGCTATCGTAATGTGCTATCAATGCTCATATTTTTTGTAGTGATCTTTAAGCTCTTGTAACATCACATTAAGCTCATTAACCTCAGATTTGGCTTGGTTTATCTCGTTTGCAATGATTCCAAATTTTGGTAAAGCATCTTCAACCTCTTCGTACACAGCATCCTCAACCCACTTAAACACATGATCCTATTGCACAACCATACCAAATCAGACAAGTTTAGCTACTAAACTACACAAAGACACAACATAAACACCAACTCTACTTACATCTCTTTTGTTTGTCCACGACTTCGGATCTCTTTTTGTTTTACAACGGAAAAAAGACCTTCCTGGATTCTCTAGAGACTTCGACGTGTAGATCGTCACATCTACTCCACACGAACACTTCAACGGAAAACCACGGAGGTCTCCGCCAGCACCATATGACCCTGAACTTGAACTCATTGGAGTAGGAAGATCAAGTTAAAAGACTCACAATCTGAAAACCCAATCAATTTCCGCAACGAAAATAGAACAATTATGATTGATTTCTCTCTTTTAAGGGTTAGGGTTCTTGTGAATTGGGGATTTCTGTTTCTCACTTTGGGGGAGACGAGACTTCGATTTGATTTAATTGAGCCGTTAAGACAAAACGGCGTCATTTTGTCTTAACTACCAGCTTTGGTAGTTAAAAATATTTTTAATATCTTGCCTCGTTAACAACTCGTTTAGAGGGGAGGTCGTCGTCGATAGAAGGATTGTTAGCAACCTACACAAACATTTATCGAAATTATTGTTATCAGGAAAAAAGGAAGAATTTATTCCTGATAACAATAGTTAGAGGTTAATATAATTGTTAGCATAAAACGTAACAACTTGCCTCTGAATTATCTCCACCACCAACTTGGAGAGTGGGCTCAATTAACAGATAGATAACCCCGGTTTTGGATTCTGTTAACCTACTTAACGACGGGACTAATATGGCAAAGTCAACAAAAATTGAGAATTTATTGAGTATTAATTTTCCCATAATAAATTACGAAGCTACGATAATAAAACGTTCAATTCCAAATATATTAAGGGGCAAGTTTGGATAAAATCCTAGTTAAACAAAATAAAGAAGAATGGGAAGACAGGATCCGATGAACATAAACACCACTGAAAAATGGACTTCGATAACATTAGAGTTAGCTAGTAACCGCCAGCGAGAATTAAAGCCGACACTAACTTTTTCACTTCACTTTGAAGGCCGCCAACCTCGAAATCCACGCATTCAGACACACCCCCGGTAGCATGAGTATGGATAAGGAATATAGAGAAGATGCCGGTATCAAGGGGTGAAGCAACCTGAGGAATGATAAGAGGGCGCTCTATAGAAAATGGATCCAGCAGACAGTTACTCATAAGAGGATTGAAGGCAGCCTGTTTGAAAAGGTATGGCAGCATTACTGCGAGAGGCATAAGCTCATCCTGAATAGTAGAATCTTTGCGGCGTTGGATATTTGAATCCAAGACAATGATCTTCCGGGATTTAAGATCAACAGCTAAAGCTACCCAATGCTTCTTGTCAAAGTTAAAAGGCAGATACAAGTAATCAGCCTCCGTGAATAACTGGACACGGTCAGACTCCCTAGCACCGGAAAGGAGATCGGTTAGTGGCGGTGGGAATTGGAACTCCGATTTGGACGGGCATCGGGAAAACTTAGGGAATTGACGGCAGAATAGTGAAACGAACTTTGAATCAAGGACTTCAACACGAAGTTTATCGCCATCAACATCATCAGTCCTCAACAAATGACGACTAAACTTGATGAGAGCATCCATAACCTGGGGGAATGAAAAAAAAAAACATTTGAAATAAAAGGAAATAACCCAATATAAAACTCACTCAATAGAATATATTTTACAAAAACGGTACCTTGCTTGAAAGATTTTTCTTCCGGTCAATTAAATCCAAAATATCTTTATTAGACAAAGCAACACCACCACAAAAGCTAATAGAACTGTTGAAAGAACAAGATGATATGAAAGATTATCGAGAGTGAAATATAATGGTAATCATTGTATAGGCTAAACAAAAAAATATCAGAATAAACGATACCTTATCGCCTTGAGTTTCTTCAGTGAATTTTGGAAGCGTTCCTCAGGGTCAACGCAAATGTTAGCTTGATTGACAACATGGGATGGATGACCAACTAACAACTTCGTTTTCTTATCATACTGGAATCGACCATCTAGCTTGGTAGAAAGAGTACGGACCCTTTTACTTCTCCTCCCAAGCATTCCATCCAAATCGTTAGCATTACCATCATCCTGCATGAAGAGGGGACTAAATTAGAAAAGTAGCAAAATTTGAGATTTACCTACCAAAGATACTAAATGTTATCAAATAAACCTAGAGGGGAGCCTTCCCTACTTTAGAAAGGGGGGGAGTGGTGAAATCCTGAAATGGGAAAATAATTAAAAACAAACTAACTGCTAACCAAAACAATAGCATTTAAACAATTAGATAATACCTCATCAGAATCCTGAGAAAACAGCCACAACGAATGATTAATAGGGGGTAAAGAATTAGTTAGCAACCAAAACAAACACATAGAAAATACAATACAACCTCGCGTGGGGAGGAAACAACAGAAGGGGCACCCCGGCCAACACCCTACAAAAAATGGGAGTAATAAAAAAGTTAAAGGCTAAACGAGATAAATAATTAAAAAATTTCAGATAAATGACAAGTCAGGGCCCTGATAATACCAACCAGATCATTAGTTGCTGCCATATCAATAGAAACAGCCTCAGGGATATCAAACGCCTCTCCATCACACACAACCCCACCATCAGAAGGCAGAGCAGCCTTATTCACAAAAAATTTTAAGAAAAAACAGACAATATGAGTACACGACCGGTTTTACAGGATGACTAAATTTTTAATAGTTATCACACGAACAGGGTCATTGGGAGGTTCACAACTAATCTTCCCATCATCATCAAGACCACAAACAGATTGAGGGCTATACTAAGTAAAAATAGACATAGAAAATAAAGAACAAAGACATTAAAAAGACTCTTAGTACGTTAACCTTTCATATTTAAATTAAAGTTGGCTAGCGTGGAGGGATACATTGATAAATATAAGTACCTGAATAAAACTAAAATTGAAATTTTAAACCACCAAAAAACTTATAAATAATTCCAAAAACCAAAATAAATATATAGTTTAGTGCCTAATAACGTTATCACCCGAAAATTAATCTTTACAAAGAGAGTAGAACAGAAGAGGAAAGAAAAGCCTAAGGAAATGGAACAATATGGTTTGTAATTTAGCTGCTAACCGAGATATCCGGGATCCCCACAGACGTCTCTTCGCCAACAATACCATCATCCGATGCAGGGACACCCTGGGCGAGGAAGAATTGAAATGAATTTAATCCAGAAGCAAAAACAGAATTGCAAAAGACAGACATATTCTATCTTGTATTATAAAATTGATCTATTACATGGCTTTCCTCTAAAGCATTAGGCGGGGGGCCACAACGCCACCTGTCGGCTGAGAGCATTGAACTTGTCCATTCAAACAATAACAAATGCTAAGAACCAGGCAACAAACAAATAACTGCACTAATTAGATAATGACTGCAATAAATAGATAACAGATAACCTCTTGGTTAACGATCGACTCGTTGGGAGTTATAAATGCTTCATTTACTGGAACATTCTCAATGCGCTATAGAGAAAAAGAAAAAGAAAAAAAAATTAGCAAAAAAATAGAGAATTCAAGATGATGATTACGCCGATAAAAAAGAGGGCAATCGTCGCTAAAATATTTTTAATATCTTGCCTCGTTGACAACTCGTTTAGAGAGGAGGTCGTCGTCGATAGAAGGATTGTTAGCAACCTACACAAACATTTATCGCAATTATTGTTATCATGAAAAAAGGAGGAATTTATTTGTTTGAGGTTAATATAATTGTTAGAGGTTAACAAGCATATTAAAACGTAACAACTTGCCTTTGAATTATCTCCACCACCAGCTTGGAGAGTGGGTTCAACACCGCCTGCAACATTGTCAGCACCCTGCAAAACAAAATAACCACAGTAATTGTTATCCAACGAAAAAAAAAGAAACAAAAACACATTATATGTTTTGATGCTAAGATAACTATTAGCAAACTAATAACATAACAACTAATCTCTTAGTTAACAATCGTTGCCTACAAGCTTACCTGCGGATGAGCAATCAGACCTGGGGAGGGGAGATCTTCATCCATTGGGACATTGTTCTCCGGCTAGAACCAAAAAAAAAAAAAAATTTAATTAAACAGTGGGGAGGGGAATGCAAACTTGGTTAACAAAACTCCATTAATAACAACTATATAGATTAAACATTTTACTAACAGTTACACCACTAAAACATAACAACTAACCTCTGCGTTATTTTCAACAACAGACTCTGTGGGTGGGACAACATCACCTATAACATTGTTACCGCCCTAAAAAAAATTAAAAAAATTAGTTAAACAACAATAAAACACCGTCATAGCGTCATTGTATGTTTGATGGTAAAAGTATGTGTTAGCATCTACCTAAGATAACACCAAATATCTGAAATAACTTAGCCAAATACCACCATAGACAACTCGCCCACATTTTACTAATAGTTACCCCAGAAAAACCAAAACAACTAACCTCGGGGTTATCTTCATCAACACATTCTGTGGGGGGGGGACAACATCAGCTGTAACATTGTTAACGCCCTAAAAAAAAATTAACAAACAATGTTATAAAACAATAAACACACAAAAAAGCCTCAATTTATATTTGATGATAAAATAACAGTTAGCATCTAACTAAAATAATACCTAATCTATGAAATACCTTAGCCAAAAAACACCATTGAATACTCGCCCACCTGAGAATTATGGACCACATCGCCAGCATGGAGAATATCTTCACCCATTGGAACAGCATTCTCCCGCTAAAAACAAAAAAGAAAGCCATAATCAGGAAAATATCCACCAACCCACAAAAACAGAAATTAATAAGAAAAAAAAATTTTACCCCCGCCTCCTTGCAACCAACACCAGTTGGAACCTTCTCAGAGTAGAAAGATAAAATTTCATCCACAGTGGCCTCGACATTAGAAGTTCCTTCGCGGCTATGAGACCGAGCATGGCCACGGGAGGGGCGAAGAGAATCAAATCCAAAATCATCATTACCACCATTGGAACCCAGACCATCAGAATTAGAAACACCATCGTTACCATTGTTGGCAGCCTTCTTAGGACGAGTAGACCCACTGACAGGCTCTTTCGAGGTTTTGCCTTCAATAACAGTGTTTTTAGTGAACCAATCAGTCACCGCGGCAATGATTTTTTTCGTCTGACCTTCAAGTTTGGCATCCAACATAAGGGAAATAGACTCCAACGAAGGAACCCCTGAACTCCCGCCTTCCTCAGGGATAGGTCTTTCTTGTCTGCTCCTAACACCACCGTTCTTAGTTAGTTTGGCAGCTTTCCTAGTGCGACTACCATTGGATTTACCACCACGCTTTTGTTTTTTTGAAGCCAATTTCAAGTGGGATGGGATAACTCCACCATCAAACATGTCATTCTTGAAAATCAGACCCTCACCTAAAAACATCAGAATATTATCGACCTTCTCATCTTCCTCATCATCAGACCAAGACAAATCTTCCTCCGGATCCAACACAAAATCAGGACAAATAATGGTATCAACAAAAATCTGCAAAACAACCAAGATAATAATACCAGATGGCGTTAACTTGCTTAAGTGAAAAAGGCGTTAGTGATTAACAACATAATTATCGGAAACTTGTACAATATATACTGATAACAATGTCGATAAATGTTAACAAAGTTAAAGAGATAAGGACATTACCGAGCATTTCTTATCCAACACTTTAGCATTCCCTAGCTTGAAAGGGACAGACTCTCGAGGGGCATCTTCAACATCGACATCGCCGGCTTCAGATTCAGACTCAATGATCTCATCAATTACAGGTCCATCTTGAATAGATGGAGCTGCCTGTAAGACAACCAATTGCATAGCGTATAACAACCCCTGAACGCTAAAACAAGTAATTGCTAATTGTTCAATTTCCCTCTCTTTTATCGACTTAATCATCATCTCGAAAGAGAGACGGCCCCAAGGGTAAGCAAGAAATGCATCCACGTCCTCAACCATTTCGGCGTGAGCTTTAATAATCTTAGGATAATGAGAGGTAGGGACAAGGAAACCATCGACAATAGCTAAGCAAGCACATCGGATCCTCATATCGGCATCGGAGATAATCCTTTTCTTCAACAACGTAATAGCCCGGTCTACAGTTACATCTTCTTCAAGGCCAAACAACTTACTGTAAAATGGAATCGTCATCCCCGCAGTGCCTTTCTTCTTTTTCTTCTTCAAAGTCGGATACTTCCCACAAGGTAAACCCGTAACAATCTTTAACTCTCTCAAAGAAAAACGAATAGGAATTCCGGCAAAGAGCACCCAAATCTCGTTCGGCTTCGCCACCTCCAATTGTCTACCCAATATAAAAATCCCAAAGCTCGCAGACCAGGCGGGTTTGTTAGGAAACTCCAATAGTTGACCGAATGTGGATCGAGAAAGGAACTGCCGTTCACCATCGTCGAGAGCGTTGAAGATAGCGCAAAGGGTTTTCATCTTATGATACACATTAACCCTCTCGCCGCGAGGCTCGTGACCAAACGCAATCAACCGGGGAGGAAGCAGAATCGGAGGCATCGGTTCTGAGAAAAAAAGATAAAATCTAGTTACACAACAATAAACATGGCGTTCAAAGCAAAATCAAACAGAAAAAAAAACGATTTTAGTTACAAGAAAAGAGGAGAAGAACAAAACCCAGATCTGAGAGATAACCCTATGCTAGAAAAACAGAACCAGAGAAAAAGAATACGAGAGAACAGTTTTGGGGAGTTGTTTCCTTTTTCTCTCTGACTGAAAACACCGTCTCTCCTCCTCATATATGATGAGAACAAACACGACTGTTCGGAAACTGGAGAAGAAAAAATTAAAATAAAATAAAATTTAAATAGCACATCTCCCCAAAACAATATCTCGCAAAATCTTCTCCTACCTTCTGCAATGATACAGCCCTATAATCTAAATACGACTCCTTTGATGCTATAGGGGTACATGCGTCAAAAAAAATTGAACAGAAGCGATGGAACAGTGTAAAAAGGAGGGACTTAATTATCGCTTCCTCTATGCATATCCCTTGATATTTCCCTAATTTCTAACGGAATTTTGACAAACTGATTTGTCGAAAATATTTTGATTAATCATAACTTATGATCAATTAATCGGTCAATGATTAAAAATAGCCGATTTGGCTATAATCGCAGCGGTTGAGCTGCACCCAGCGCCTAGGCGGACGATTAATCGTCTAAGCGCCCGCGTTTTTGAACAAGGAGTAGACTTTCAATGAATTCAGTAATAAAAAAAACTCTAAAATAGATATAAATTTTAGAAAATTTGTTAGAAATGTTCGACAAATCATAAACCAAATTTCAAAATATTTGGTAAATATTGGCAGGTCAAGGCAGCAGTCTTACAAATTTCAAAAGTCCATCAAGAAATTCAATGGATTTTCAGACGATCGAAATATTTAACTGCCAAAACTCACGAAATAATTTTAAATTCTAGCCTATACCATTAAATTTATTATTAAAAATACTAAAATAATTTTTGAAGATTATAGAGTAAATTATGTATTTCTTATTTATTTGTCAAAGTTGATTCTATTTTTCATTTGACAACAAATGCGGTTAATGAGTTTTGTAGTGGTAAGAAATGGCAGGACGATTAACATTTTTTTTAAATGAATTTAAACCTAGTTTTTGTGAGGGTACAAATCTCTAGAGCTCTCCAAGCTTGACAAACTAATCTATATACTCTTCTTTAATCTCATCTACTCCTTTACTCTTAATGAAATATCAATATCCTAGTTTGCCCTTACCAAACCGAGACAAACCAAGCTATTAAACCGATTTTTAATTGAAATTGTAATAAAAAAGAAAACAAAATCGACCAATGAGAAAAGAGATATGAGAGCCAATAACAAATGTCCACGTTCCCCATCATCATCATCTGCACAAAATCATCGCCTTTCCTCACGTATTCAACCATTCTTCCACCATTGAAAGTGAAGCTTAAATCTCCATATCAATTCCTCTTCTCTTCTTCTTCTACTATTGTGTTTTAGCTTGAATCCCCTTTAATCTATCGATTCTTTAGTCGATTTTGGGTTGGTTTATTTGAAATTAAGAGATTTTAATTAGATTTGAAATTGGTGTTGGAAATCAATTGAAGTTGGGTTGGTAACTATGTTTTCTGGGTCGATTAGGGCATTTTAATGGACTATAGTTGTTGAATCATAGTGAATCACAGGTAAATTAGTATTTCTGGTCGGATAATCAATTTGGAAATATAGTACAACTAGGAAAATTTGAGTATACGTGGTATAACAGATACAAGTGGTATAACTGAGAAAAGTGGTATAACTGTTAGAAGTGGTGGACTTGAGCAATAAAAGTTATTCAAAATGATATAGCTGTATGAGTTGATTATTCCACGTGAAATCCAAGAATTGTATGTATAACTTCTGAATTACACCGCAAGAAAGAGAAGAATTCAAGAAACTAGAATTACACCGCAAGAAATGTAGCCAAGATTAATGTATTTGTGTTTGTATATTTTTTTTTTTTGGTACTATCTGTTTTTATAAAACTTGGTTTCGTAATGGTACAATTACGTATTTCTTTGATCTAATTCGTTTTGTACAACTTAGTAAAACTGATAATCGTAATGGTACAACTACGACCAATTTAACAAATCTTCATACACTTAATAAATTGAATTTTATTAGACAATTTATAAAATCTTCATATACACTTTAGAAATTCACAAATAATTTAACAAATCTTCTTAAACAATATTAGTTGAACATAATTTATAGGATAGTTTCCATTAAACTCATTTTTGTACAAGAAAGATCTTATACTTTTAAGATAACTTTCTTATTGTTATCCCCACTACATTGCAAAACACACAATAATAATGTTTTGACAAATATTTTTACATGAAAACATATGGAATATACCTCAAATAACTAAAATCATGGGTCCAACTAAAAATATTTAGTTTCAATCCAAGTACAACTAATTATACAAAAAATCACAAAAAGTACAACTGTGTATATGCGAGTACAACTTGAAAACTAGGAACAACTGTGTTCATTTTTGTGTGCCACCTGGCATATGTACTTGTTTTGCGGCTCCCACTTGCAGTTTCTGACGGCGCAGTTTTACCCACGTGCAGTTTGACCCACGTTTTTTTTTAGATTTTAAAATTTTGAAATTTTTTAAATTTTTTATTCTCTACTTATTAAAGAAAAAGAAGACGAGAAAGAACAAAATTTTCTATGTACCAAGTTATACCTAGTTAAACAAATATTTCAAATAACCATACTAACCAAGTTGTACTAAGTTTAACAAACTGCGCAGTTATACCAAAAATTAAAAAACAACCAAATCATGTTGACAAAAACAAAAACAACACATGGAGTTCTCATAAACTGACTCATAAAGTACTTAAATCTTCTTATGCTTTGTTCCAATAGGACTCATAAACACAACAATAGACCCCTTCTTTGCATTTTTGCTTGTACGCTTCACCCTTTTACTGTCTCCTTCACTTGGTTTTTCTACATCGTCACAAGTCTTTACTGGAATTTTTTCTCCTTCTCGTTCTTTTTATTTTCTCCCATTTCGGGTTCTCCACCTATTGTACATCCTCTCTTCATGTTGTTCTTCTCCGCTTCCTTGAACATCTGAATTTGACCTACAAATATCAACGAGAATCAACTCGACTCTTCCCACATATTAGCTTAGAGATAGTGGAGCCAAGCGACTGCAAATTTTTGAACGGTTGATATACACTCTTTTAGAGCTTTATCAAACTTGATCTATATCATCTAGAAGATCAGTCCATGTAGTTAGTCTCACACTTGTGTACAAGATAAACATCTAAATCTCAACCACATAAAAATGAGATTAGATTTATGCTTGTTGTCTAATATCACAAAACACGAGCAGTTTTGAAATAAGAGACTACTTCAACCTTGTCAGCTTTTTCTTGGTCAAAGACGCAAAATGTGTAGAACGATATACCTGGAGCATCTGACCAAGTTATACTTAGTTTTACCTTTTAGTATCAGAAATTTCTAAGTTACGAAAGAAACATAGTTATACCAAGTTCTACTAGTTGTCCAAAGTTTATAGATTATACCGTTGAATCTCCGCGAGAGATTGAATTTGTTGAATCAAAATACACTTGGGTGGTGCCTCTCTGATGCTTCAAGGATTTTATCTGGTTCTGTAGGATTCGATACAGTTGGGTTATTTGTTCGAGCCATTACTCCTTTGCATAAACCTACAAACAAAATCAATTAGATTAACAACAGATTCCAAAAATTTCTCTAATTTCAATTTAATTCTACCCAATAGTGAAAATAAAACAACAAATTAGACCAAGTTAGATTAGGATTGACGAAGAAGGATGGAAGAAAAACATGATGAAAGTAATTACTCAAATTGGAGAAATAGATCGACACGAATTTTACCAACTTATGCAAATAAAGAAGTTGTATGTAGTTATCCCAAGTTCAACAATAAGGAGAAAAAAAAGACTAAGAAGAGGAGGAAGACAACGATGAAAGAAGAAGAAAAAAATCTGTCAATTTAATTATTTAAAGGTTTGACCCGATTACATAGAATTCGGATATTTTTTTACCCGTTTTGGTTGGTTGGGTTGGTAATAAATTCAATTTCTAAGGGGTGCCAAAGTATTTCTCTCCTTTTTAGATTTAAAATAATTCAAAATTAAATTCATTTTTAAGAGAAGAGCATTTGAGAAAAAAAACTGAAGATGAGGAGCTCCTGAGAATTTGATCCTTTTTGTGAACATATTAGAAACTATGGGAAAGTAAGTAAGGCTCATATCTGGAAGTAGGCACAAGTTGAAATTCAGTGGACATACTTGGTTGTTTCATTACCACCACATGACCAACTCTACGGTGTTCAAATATTTTATTGATGTTTCATAGAAATAATCTTTAAGCCAAGTGTCTAAATCACACTTGAAACGTTCCTGAGATAAGAGAATCGAATTCGCTCAGGCTAATATGTCAGAATTGCCTAGCAAGATAACAAAGTTTGCAAAGCTTTTTGCGGATCCAACTACCTTCAGTTCCAAAAAAACTTAAAAACATAAAAATTTGATGTTTGAATGGTAATAAATAGCGGAATCACGTTTTCAACAAGTGGTATACCATTTAAGCACTCGGTTTCAAAAATAATAATTTGGAAAATAAGTGAATTACTAAATAGGAGGTATGTTGATTTGTGTTAATGCTATTTTATAATGTGCTACCCACACGGATTTCAATTTGCATAAGTTGTTCAATTAAAAAAAAATGGTGGAGACAAGCATATGCATATAGCTAGCTTTTTGCTTTTCAGTTTTCAGTAACATTCCCTCCTGATACAACTATGGGCCGAAGTGTTTAGCTTACCTTCAGGTTTATCTTAAATAGAGTAAAAGGCCCATCTAATTAAAGAAAATCCACAAGAATATGAATTTTCCATTCAAGTCAACAAGATACTTTAAATTAAATAGATCAAAAATCTAAATCGGGGATACATAAGCTACATGAGTAGTATCATAAGAGCAATGTCTGCCACTCCGGGTTTTATTAGTTTTGAAACTTAAAAGATGTGTAATACAACACAAAGAGAAAGATATTAGAATGTCCCACATTGCTTAGGATTAAAATATTTGGGTAATATATATAAGATGTGGTAACCCTTAACTCTTGAGCTAACTTTTGGGTTAAGTTAAGCCACAATCCTAATATGGTATGAGAGCCCAAGGTTGGCCCAATAAACAAATTTTCCACAAAAATGGTTTTCCACCTATGTGGTCCATATAAGTGGCAAGTCTTGTTGTATTTCCGAGATGTTGGGCTTGGACTGTTCCCGTTGGGCCGTTTCCCACCTACATTGCTTAGGATTAAGATCTTTGGGTAATATTTATAGGATGTACCAACTCTTAACTCTTGAGCTAGCTTTTGGGTTAAGTTAGGCCACAATCCTAACAAAACTCAACAATGTCGCAAATGACCCAAACATAGGTGTAAACGTCATAGTCTTGACTCTTGACCAATTATGTACCATATGTATTGAAGGCTAACTGTCTACCTCCATCCACTAGAGTTCTAACATGCATAGCATAGCAGGACCAAAAATAATGCTTCAAATACTGACCGAAGTGATGAAATATTTCAACGTTGTTTTGTTTGGACGCCTAGAAAGAAACCCTCAAATTCATTGCTGAAACAAAACCATCTTAAACGGGTGAGAGTATCTTATGTTAAGAAAAATAAAATCAGAAATTATAACAACAATAAAATGTTTCCTATACGATTTAGCTCTTTGATCTCTTACATTTTTATATATAACTAAACGGTAAGACTAAATAATTTATAGCACTTCGGTGCATTCCTACTCGGATTGACCAGAGTAGCGGATAGAACAAAAATAACAATCTTCGGTATAATCTATTTTAAAATATAAAAAATTTAATGTTAGAACCAACGTTTTTTTTATGAAAAATTTAAAATTATAAAATGTTAAAATTTTAAAACCCACTGAAACTGCAAAAAGTATTTGTAATATATTTTTGCAGGTATCTTGTTTCTCTCTTTTTTTTTGAATCAGTACAGTATTTTGTTTCTCTTAAACCCATAATTACAACAAAATACATTATAAGCATATAAATTGGTATATAGTTTGGTGAATTTTTTTTTTATTATTAGTCGGATTTATTTTACTGAAAATAAAAAATATGATACTACATATATAGAAAATAGAGAATATGCACAAAATAGCTAAATTTTTAAAGATAATTAACAAAGTAGCCATATGCTACAGTAACTTGTCGGTAACATGTCGGAGAGCACGTGTTATTACGTATATGTCCTTTATAACATGCTTTTTTCTTGAATTACATGTGATAGAATAATACATTTCTTTTTATCATGTTATTTTCTCGTATTACACGTTATTTATAAAGAGCACATGGTATTTCTTAAAAAACATTCTATTCAGTTTAATATCTCTCTTTATCATGTTATTTTGTAGTAATACACGTTTTTTATTAAGATCACATGTGATTTCTCTTTAAAAACGATTCCTATTTTTAAGTAATACATGGTTTTTATTAAGATCACATGTTATTTCTTTAAAAAAAATTCCATTCAAGTTAAATTTTTCCATAACAATGTTTTTTCTTAAAAAAACATTACGTAACAATATTTTTTCTTAAAATTCACTACGTTTTTTTGAAATATCATGTCTTTTACTTAAATATAACATGTGAAATTTAGATCTTACGTGCTATTTGAAAAATATCACGAAACTATCTCGCCTACTGTTGATCTCCAAAAAAAGGGAGGATGATTTTGTTATTTCACATTTTCTGACAATGTGGGTACATGGTTATTTTGCAATAAAAATCTATTAGTTTCCTAATTTATGTGTTTTATTTAGCTATTCCTTAATATTATCTTAAAAAATATTACAAATTACATATAAACAAATATTATATGTTTTCTTTAACAAAAGATAAACAAAGTGTATATGTTTTGACAGCTACATGATCTGTCTTGTCAACGACCAATGAAGATATGAGATATTGTGAAGGCAAGCACGATCTGGTCGACACCTTATCAATAAATGTCAAAATGACATCTCCATTATCTAATAGTATCTTCTTTTTATTTAATCGCTTTTTCATACTTTTTCACCTGTTAATTATCTCTCTTTTTTTTTAGGTAAAGACCTGTTAATTACTTATTTTGTTACTTTCAACAATTTACTTATTTAAAAATGTTACCAAGACTTTAGTATTTCGATCTCGAAAAAAAGAAGAAAATGTTACCAAGACTACAAAAGCGAGATGTCCACACGTATATATTCATTGACTTTTTAAGTCATTGGCAAAAAACAACAAACAAAATTCATACTAAAATTTATTTGCAATTTTTACAAAAAATAACTATTATTTTGCCGATCATGAGCTTATTTCTGATGACTCAGCGACCAAATATAGACACATTTTAATTGACAATTGTCGGAAAAACAAAAGACAACTCAATTCTCCTGTAAAATCAATGATTGAAAAAAAAAAAATACTTCTTTTGTCAATAACAATTTAATTAAAAATGGAACTTGGGTTTTTAGATTCGTATTCGTATTCGCTGGCTTGGCCTAACTATTTGCTTTTAGTTGGCAAAGGATTCACATGGCTTCTCTTCACATCAACCAATATCATAACACGTGATAACTTCTTCTTCTTCTTTTTTGTCCTTTTCCTTTCTTTTTTCCTCCCAGAAGACAGAAGAAGAAGCAAGATCATCAAGACCAATCTCGTAGACTTTTTGTCTCTGTCCAAAAACCAGAAAGAAACTTTCTTGGTAAAAAAAGGAGAACAATCTCGTAGATTCTTGACAATGGATTCTTCGAAGAATAGAACATTGCTTAAGGTCATTGTTCTTGGAGATAGCGGGTAACAATTTCTCAGAGTTCTTAAAGATTTTTCAGACTTGTCTCTTGTTCTTGATAACCATACAAAGCGAGGGTTTAATTTATTTTATTATTATGTTCTTTAAAATGGAAAAATTAAGAACTTTCTTGCCTCTGTTTTCTTTTTTTGTTCTGAATCTTTGTTTATATATGCAGCGTAGGCAAAACTTCATTGATGAATCAGTATCCTTGTTTAAACCCACCTTTAAGCTTATAAATTAGTAACATATTTGGGTTTGGTTTTTTAGTTCAATCTTTTATAGCGTGTGTTAGATCTGTGCTGCGGTAGCCTTGACTTGCGACTTAAGATATGTGTACAAGAAATTCAACAAGCAATATAAGGCCACGATCGGAGCAGATTTCGTCACCAAAGAGCTTCATATAGATGAAAAACCTGTCACTTTACAGGTAAATTAATATACATAATTCCTTATGTCACATTTTCGGTGTCAAAATCTTATGAAACTCTCTATTTCTAAGATATGGGATACTGCTGGACAAGAGAGATTTCAAAGTCTAGGGGCCGCGTTCTATAGAGGTGCTGATTGTTGCGTTCTTGTGTACGACGTGAACAATCTCAAATCTTTTGAAACTCTCAATAACTGGCACACAGAGTTCCTCAAACAGGTTTTAACTAATGTTCTTTTTCTTGTGCAAGAAGTTACAGTTACCACGCAAATCTTTTCTAAAATCTGACCGCTTTAATTCCATTTTCTGATATCTTCTAGGCAAACCCTATGGAACCGGATACATTTCCCTTTGTTTTAATCGGGAACAAGACCGATGTAGATGGCGGAAACAGCCGAGTTGTAAGCCGATATAATCTTCATTAATCTCCTCTTCAAAACCATCAATAACCCTAACTTCCGCAATTCTACTCATGTAGGTTTCAAACAAGAGAGCCATCGAGTGGTGTGGCTCAAAGGGGAACATACTGTACCATGAAACCTCTGCGAAGGATGATACCAATGTCGATGAAGCTTTTTTGGGTGTTGCACACATTGCTCTCGCCAATGAACGTAAACAAACCAATGACATGTGAGTTTCTATAACAGTTTTGATTCATAGATCCAACTCTTTCCAATTTTTCTCTAAGGTTCATGTTGGTTTTTGAATTTGCAGATATCCAAGAGGCGTGTATGACTCTGTTACGGATATTATTGATCCAGATCAGACAAGAGGTTGTGCTTGCTGATTCATATTTAACATATCTGATCAATAATATCGAGTCCCAGCTCTTTTATTTTCAGTCTTTGTTTTTGGTAACTTTTTTTATTTATTGGTTTAATATCAT